TTTGACCTCAATAACTCCTGACCTGAGGTGACCTGTGACTTGAAATTTTGTGTGAAGGTGTCAAATTGATGTCCGGTAAGGTACCCAAAATTTGGCGGCGCTGCGCGCCGCCGTTTTCTCGCTATTTAAGAAAAACCACAGGGGGGGGCCAAAATGGCCCCCCCCCCCCCATCAGGGCGCGGGTTAAAGGTTTTCCTTCAACAGTGACCTTGAATACCGGATGAGGAAGCCTTGAAATATAAACAATAAAAATGCACATTCTTCACGGTGGTTACATGCTGACGATGTGTCTTGTTGAAAGGATCATAGTACTTCAACTTGTGTGATCTATTCAAATTATCATTCGAGGCCTATCTATATGCCTTACGGTCAATGTGCAAATATCCAGCAAATGTCAAGACGATCACAACTGAAATCAAAATAAAAATACCGTACCTAAATCAGCAAGAGAATGTCGTGCATACCTATGTAGGTAATTCTCATTAGAAATAAAAAGCATATGGTGCAAGTAATTCGTAATAAGCAGTTGTTAAAAATACCAGGCCAAGTGGATTCGATACTTTCCATATCTATTTTTTTTATTTTTGTCGCTATTGTGCATATCTCAATAAAGTTGCGTTAAATGTGCCGTGCATCTGTAGGTACTGTATGTATTTTGTAATGCACATTAGAAATAAAAGCATCTGGTGCAAAAGATTCGTAGTTAAAAGTCGTCAAAAATACCAAGCAAGGTGTATTCGATACTAGTAAAACATGCACTAATTTACTAAAACATTCTAATTATAAAACACTAAACATCTAATCTAATCTAAAACATCTAATTTAAACATCTAATATAAACATCAAATTTACTAAAACACTAATTGATTTTAAAACATTCGATACTATTCGATAATAAAACATGCCATTGTTCTGTAACCCAAGATTACTTTACTACTCCTGTAACCTATCCATCAAGATTCGCGGTTGTGCATTGCATTCCGCGAATCACCAAGCTGGCTATGTGCCCGACTGAGCTAGTGGGCTCATTACTGATACAGCTTCATGAGATGTGTGACTGCAACCTTTCTGCACTCCTCGGGGTGGCAGCAGGGCGGCCGTGCAGCGACCGTATCTACCCCCAACGGGCTCCCGATGGCCTAGCTGACTCGGTTGCCTTCCTGATGAGTCGCCGGGACCAAGTATCTCGCCGCCTGCTCCGGCTATTGACATGCCCGGAGCGGGAGTGAGTGTCGCCTGCGACATCAATGTGTGGCCCCTGCTCACCCACTGTCATGCTTTGTGTGATGTTTTGTGTGTGCCTTTTTTTTCATACTTTCTTGCCAACTTTGGTGCCTAATAAACTATGATGATGATGATGATGATTCCTTTCTCAATAAAGTTGTGAATCTTGGAAACTGAGGTGCCATTGTGCCATCGTTACCAAGGTGATTGGTAGACAAATACAAGAAGCCAAATCAAATGTGTTCTTCATTTCACGCCGTCGTGAAATGAAATTCTCGACCAATCAAAACGTTCCGTTGTTTTGCTGATGCTGCTTGCTTAGCAAACATTCACAAGAGACGCCGAAACTACCCCATGGGGGTAGTTTGAGCTGGTGAAACTGGATTTTACCCCATGGGGCAGAATGGAAATCTACCCCATGCCGAAATTACCCCACTTGGTGAAACTGGGCCCTGGCGTCAGTTCCAATTTATGATTTCCAATTATACTTCTCTTTGCGGTCGTTCGAATGAGCCAGACCGGGGTTTCAGGCCCATCGCCATTGTTCTGTGAAACACGGAAAAGCATTTCTTGCCAGGTTACCAATTATGTTTACAATTTTTAAATGTTATTTTATTCCATAACCGTTTGGAATTTTTATAAGCGTTTTTGTCCATGCATTGCGTGGTTATCGTACATGCCTTCTACCAATTTTAATGCTTTTTACCCCACTAATAGCTGAGCTGGAATATTTTTGTCTCGGACGGTAGCGCGGGGCAAAGCGGCCGGGGCAAAGTGGCCAGCCCCCAATTGGCCATAAGTTGCTTCCATCTGGATGAAAACATTATTTATATTCAAATGTGTCGTCATGCATTCATCTTGGCCACTTTTCGGTTACATGAGTTACCAAATTATGCAATTAAATGTTTTCCAAGAAAATTCTTTCTTTGTTTAGCGATAGGTGGGAAGATAACAAAGTTAACATCCATCTTCCTTAAACCTTGTCACCATCAAATACCCTAGTCGTGCATGAGGCAACTATTCTGTTTCTCATATCGGGACTTGAGAAGTCGCAAGTGGCCGCTTTGCCTCAGGGATGGGGCAAAGTGGCCAATATGCTATAGGTTTAAAGTTTTGTCAATATCTCCCATATGTGAACGCCTTTGGAAATGAAACGCAGTTGGAATAAAAGACAATTTAATAGGGATCACATTGGTATAGAAAGAATCTTTCCAAGTTTAAAAATCAAGCGTCGGCATCGTTAGAAACGTTAGGGTGGCCGCTTTGCCCCACTCTCCCCTACGACACGTTTCGTTCAGTAGCATACACGGGACGGGATGCACCTAGATGCTCAGCGAGCCCCACCGGCATTTGGTTTGGTCGTAAGACCCTATGACTTGATTAAACCCAGCTGCCGGCCCGCAGTGATGTCGTTGGAAGATTATGCAATCGTAGACTAGAGCCGATGGCGTTGTGCGGCACTGATGTGTCACGGACCAATAAATCCCATCATTTAACAGGTCACCGGTGAAGTATGGTTATGCACTTACTTGCCTGCCCAGCGCATTGACTCAATGGTGGCCAAAATCATGAACTGTCGAACAATAGGCGAGATCGCTAAAGCGTCAGACTCTAACAACTGCACAATCTGAAGGGACCAGCTTGCTGTTTGACAGCGCACCGGAATCAGTTACCGGAACATCCCGAGGATTTGTCCTTCCTCGCAGATCAGCTCGGTGCCAGGCATTAGCACATCAGCCATTCGTTAGGCAACAGCGGGATACTGGAAAGGACAGGTGAAAAAACCGGCAGCGCTGCTCCTCTGCTCTGTGCCGCTGCTCGGCAGAGTGAGACACCCTCCAGTGGGCCTTCTGCCTCGCTACATTTACACTTCCTCTGCGGGAATTCGCTCATTGTGGCTGGCAGTGAATCCGGTATAGTTAGGCGACAGGTCGGGTCCGCTGAAAAACAGCCAGCAAGGCCGTCTCCGACTTGGGCCGCTCTTCTCATGAGGTCAGTGTCTGCAGCGACACGGTCTCCGCGGCGCCGCGGACGGCAGTTTCACACCCTCCAGACAGGCAAGAAAGCGCGTAACCATACATTAACCTCATCGGAGACATGTTTAATGATGGGCTTTATTGGTCCGTGACACATCAGTGCCGCACAACGCCATCGGCTCTAGTCTACGATTGCATAATCTTCCAACGACATCACTGCGGGCCGGCAGCTGAGTTTAATCAAGTCATAGGGTCTTACGACCAAACCAAATGCCGGTGGGGCTCGCTGGGCATCTAGGTGCATCCCGTCCCGTGTATGCTACTGAACGAAACGTGTCGTACACGATTCCTTGTGTAATCGTGTTTACCATGGGCTATTACCGTTTCATCCAGATTGTTTGCTTTTACCTTATTTTACCTCATTTTAAACATTGTTTAGGAAAGGAAAATGACACACTGATGCTTGAAATTTCTTTCAGACAATCAGATTAATGGTTATTGTATCTTTTGGCAAGGAAAACATGATGATAAAACGTGTTAATGATATCACAATGACCTATCAAAGAATCGAAGGTTGGGGAACAGTGCTGCCACCTACAGGCAGACGTGTATCACTATTAGTTCGATACTCGCCATCAGAGGCAGATTGCCCCAAAGGGTGCGGATATTATTGAACGCTGTTGCCAAACCAAATGAATAATATTGCTGGTTTTAGCGGCATTGTGGCGCCAACAGACCATATTTCACGTTCATATAAACTTTTTAGTCTAAACACAACGCAACTTTCGATTAGACAGTGAGACGTCGATATTTTCATTTTATCCAAAAATTTCAAGGACGTTCAGGGGTCAAATTTTTTACGAATTTTTCATTTTTCTCGACGGATTCGGCATCAGCACGAAAAAATGCATCAGAATCGAGGCTAGGAGCGGTGATTCCGTGTACTTTGCAAAAAAATGGCCACCCTACTGTGCAGTAAATGATTTTTTTTAGGCTCTAAGGGAGTCTAAAGGTTAATATCAAACTGCCTTAGAGTATAAAATCCTCGGAAGATTAATATTGGCGAAGATTGGTAGACACCCGCTGACGTCATCTGTCAAGGTCACTGATGTAAACAAACGGCTAACCATTCTACCTCCTATATACGGCCTTGGCTGTACCTACTACCTATATATGAATAATGATAGGTGCTTACGATTTGAATGGTATTTTGAAGCGGGATGGCAACAAACTTTCATTGTATAGCGTCAGTGAACCTAGAAATGAAATAAGATAATGGTATGCAGCTAAAATTTTGCTATTTTTGGCCGTATTTGTGTCCTTGGACCTTGATCTCATGCGCTGGCACGGGTGCCTTCACTGCTAATTTGCCTTCAATGACCTCTGGTGACCTGACCTTTGACCTGACCAAAAAAGCGACTGAAGTGATTTCGTCATTATTTTTTGCCCTCTTTCGAACGCCGCCTTCCGCGTATCGCTACGTGGCGAGCCGAGTTAGAAGGGGGGTCTTCAAACACCCCCCCCCCAGCAGGGCGTGGAAATCCAGGACCCCCAGCTGGGAGCGGGTAAACTGTTAAGAGTTGTTTTTGTAAAATATGTAGGTACCTACCTAATTTATAATCCCCAGCACGTGGGACGTTTTGACGTCGCATACGTTATCAAGTACTTGATCACCTCTGATGTCTCAGATCAGTTGACTTTTTAAGGTAAAGCTTGATCAATTAACTGAGCAGGAATCTGATATCGATTGCTGTCATAACCGGGTCAAAGTTTGATATCCTTTCTGCATTCTGTCTCCAGGGCTTGAACATGTCCTACACTTGAGGGGCACCTGCTGAAGAGCAAAGGCCAGACTGCACCAAGAAATCATGGCATCTGCTGGAAAGAAAAGCTTCAATGCATCCCTTTGTGAGCGCTGCTTTGAGGTTTTCTTTTTGAAGAAAGCATATGAAGCCCACATACAAAAATGCTGTGAGCCTCGGCCAAAGACTCCAGACGTCAGCAGTCAGATAGGACACTCGGCTCTTGCCAAGTGCGCCAGTTGTCGACGCATTTTCCTCGGAGGCCAGCACCTGGAAAAGCACATGAATAAAGAACACAGCACCAAAAAGGTCTTAAAGACAGTCATACTTTGTCATGAGTGTAAGAAGATTTTCACAGATATCCAGGCGCTGGCTATCCACCAGGCGGAACAGCATCCTCAGGCATCGGCTTCTTCGCCTGCTGCTTCAAAGAAACGGACGGTAACTGTGCTACGGAATCAGGTAACTGGGTTGCAACCGAAGTCGGCACCGAAAGCCGACGTTGCACTTGAGGCAAGAGATTCCGCTAAAGAGTCAGGGTCTTCTACGACACCTCAATCCAATTCAAGATCAGATTCTCAGTCTGATCCAGAACCACAGTCAAACAGTGAGCAACCGGAGTCTGACACAAACGCACCATCAGTGGGCTCTGGGTCAGGCCAGGCGTCTGACGCACCAGCGGACGAGGTGTCGCGTTCGGCGATGGATGTGGAGGGGGGCAGCTCACAGCTGCTGGATGACCAGATGGGTGGCGACGAATCCAAACTGAGTGAAGTGCAGCCTGATGTGATAGACAAGTCCTCCGCCAACAAGTCGCTTTCGCCAGCCAAACCGGTAGACACCGAAACCCAGGCGTCAAAAGTTCTGAGGGGCCAGACGACCGCAAAGTTGGGTAACATGTCTGCCGATCAGCGGACAGGTGGCTTAGAGACCAAAACTGGGCCTCTTCCTACGACCTCTCGCTTAGCCTTCGCCCCCACCAAACCCAGAGTGTCAACTGTTTCGGCAGCCAGCCCCAGTGTTACTACTGCCAGCAGCTCCAAGGCTGCCACTCTTGGCCCTCTTTTCGCCTGCCGCTCCTGTGACTTCAAGTCAATGGACAAGGATCTCATGATTCAGCACATCGCCGACAAGCACGGCCCCCAGTTGCCTACAGTTGTCTCAAATAAGTCTGCCTCATCGCTAACGAAAAAGCCGGTCCGTGAGGTCACGCTATACGCATGCGGGTTATGCGACGCCAAGTTTCCGAGTGTTGAGGTGGTGAAAGCGCACATCAATGCCAAGCACCAAACTCCACGGGATGTTACGACGCAGAACGCGGACGTCCGCCGGGACACGTTGTGGTCGACACACGAATGTGTGCAATGTGCTTCGTTGTTCCAGCCGTCGGTACGTCTGCGCGACATCTACATGAACCTCTCTGAGTGGATGAACCACTTCTACCAGTCACATGGCGCGACAGAGAAGGTGACCCCCAGGAAACAGTTGGAGCTGCGTCCCTGCCACCGGTGTGGTCTCGTGTTTTTCAGTAAGGCCACGCGTTTACATCACAATGTGATTTCGCATGACGGAAAAGATCCCGAAATTGAAATGCAACGGAAGCAGCGAGAGGAGGAGCGTGAGCTGGTGAAACTGACCTCAGCTGAAATCACACCCAAATCGCTGCCCGCAAAAGCGCGGTCGCGGGTGATCGTCGACTCACTGATGAAAGCCTCCCTTGTATCGCGCACGACGCCGGCAGTGGTTATGGACAAGGCCGCCGCACGACGAGCACAAATCAAAGTGTTCGCTGCCCGGTCTGGTGCTCCAAATCGTGTGACCAATGTCGTGTTCAAGTGCAGCAAGTGTGGTGGCATGTTCCCTGACGATCCGTCATTTGAGCGGCACGCACGTGAAGTACACAGCAACGAAAGTGGACGCGATGAACGGCCCGACCCACCGCCCGCTACTGTCCAGTCGGATCCGCCAATGAGCACAGAAGTGACAAAGCCGAACTTGCTTGAGCAGCGCGAGTGTTCCGACTGCTCTAAACTGATGGAGTCTTGTCCCCGGTCAAACGGGCTGTTTGTGCGTCGCGATGTGTGGGAGCGCCACGTCAACGAAGTGCACGTGCACCTGACGAGATGCGTTGGCGTGAGGATCGTGATGCATCCGTGCCCGCACTGCCCCCGCCTCTTCTTGAATCCACACACTCTCGAGGCGCACAAAACCAAGCTGCATGACACGATGCTAGGCCCTGTGGATCAGGCTGATGTTGACGCGTGTACGCCAACAAAAACGCTTGAGTGCAGTCGCTGTTCGCAGCTGGTGCAGAATGCCGACGGATTGCGTTTCCTGGATGGAAATGTCTGGAACACTCACTTCGAGACCGATCATAAGGAGCTACTGCTTTGTGATGGCAAAGCTGGTGAGTGGGAGCTGTTCTCTTGCTCTAAGTGTCCGCGCCTCTTCTTCAACGAACGTGACTTGCCCGTGCACGAGGCTCGCCAGGCCTTTATGCATATGACGATGCCGATCAACGCCAAAGTAGTCACTCAGAAGGGCGGCCCTCGCGTTGTGCAGGACACGGAGATTCTGTACCAGTGCGCCAACGACCCTTGCTCGTTCACGTGCAAAGAGCATGCCAAAATGGTTGAACACTTTCAGCAATGTCGAGTGCTTCCACTGGTGAAGGTCGGTGAAACACTGCTCTTTAAGACAGTGATGGTGCGCAAGCTTAAAAGGCCACGCCACTCGAAACCATACAACCGAAGTGCGACTCGACGTTTGGAGAATGTGATGAAGAAACTTGCGCCTGACGGCGGTGCCAACGGCGATACCGCAAGCGTTACACCCAACGCTGAAGGCAAGGATTCTGAGGCGGCGACGGCGGTCACTCACATATTGGCGGAGTCGGAGCGGATCACTTCCAAGACACCGGCCGTGCTCGAGCTGGACCCTGTCACTTGCCAACCGCGCTTGGCCCATTCGTTGGAGGACTCTGAGGACGTGCCAGAGGCAGCCGCTGAGGACGTGCCAGAGGCGGCCGCTGAGGAGGAGACTGTAGCCGCCGAAGAAGCTCTACAGGAACACCCTGACACTGGCTCCCAGCCCACCCGCATGGATTTTGCCTGTAGCGTGTGCCAGATGCGCGGCAGCAGCAGGAATTCGATTGCTGCGCACATCCGTCGCGACCACAAGCGAAGTGACGGCACCTACGGGCCTGATGAGAACGTTGATAAGCGACAAGAGCAAGTGAAGAAGTACAAGCATGCCTACCTGTGCGCCGAATGTAAGGAGATGGCCAAGCCGTGTCAACGCACCCGCGACCTCTTCTTTGAGAAGGCAGCATGGCTCAACCATCTGGCTACTACCCACAACCCACTGAGCTTCTCGGAACTGGATCGTCTCGATTTGCACGAGTGTGAAGAGTGTGAGCGGCTTTTCCTCAGTTATGCGTCTCTGAAGCGTCACTCTCGCGCCTTCCACGAACCTGGAGCCGAGAACTACCAGCCTCCTCGGACGGCCGCGGACAGGAGAAAGAAGCACAAGTTCAGCTGTTTCGAGGAAGGATGCACATTCACGTACCACCGAGTCCCGCGGCTTCGTTCTCACCTTATCGCGGAGCACAACTTCGATTTGGCGGTGCGTGAAGTGGTCTTCAACAACGAGCATGACTTCCAAGAGTGGAAAAAGACGCTTGAGCTCTCGACCAACGCATATTTTATGCAACGCTCGAACGTGAAAAGCAAGCGAAAGAGTGGCACATTCGAAGTGCGTTACTTTGGCTGCTCTCGGGTCATGGCCAACCTGCCAACCTACAAGGAAAATGGTAAGAAACGTTCGCTGCCGTGGCAGGTGGATCTCCTGAAGGATGACATGGTTTGGCGATGTCCAGCGTTCTTAAAGGCTGAGGTGGCTTCGAGCTCGGCATCTGTCAGAGTGAGCTTCTGTCCCAACCACTACGGACATGAGATGGACCCATCGTTTGGTCGGTTGAGCGACGCTGACGAAGCCGAAATCGGTGGCATGCTGCGCGCAGGTCTCAGTATCCAGGACGTGCTGAAACGAATGCGAGAAGAAGGCAGGCTTCAAGGTACGCCGAGTCGCAAGCAGCGTGTCACTGAATTCGAGATCAATCGCATCTTCGAGAAGTACATGGGCATGAAGCCACCCAAAGCAAAGCGGTACGATCCGCTAGTGGGCAAGGCGGTCAGTCGGTCGTTGGGGAAGGTGACGGAGTCTTCGAATCTCGCCTGGAACGCGGAACTGATCAGCTCGTACGACGATGGCGCGATGACAGCTGAAGACACCGCTGGCGACGAGCTGCCTTTGGACAACTCTGACGAGGCCATCGACGAGAGTGCCGGCTCACGGGATGTGTGGCAGCGCGTCTGCGGCGAAGATGGGTGTCACTTCACAACCACCAGTGTCGGATTCCTGCGCAGTCATCTGCGTCAGCGTCATGGTTTCGCCATGCACATCGACACGGCTGGTTTCACATCCATGAAAGACTTCTCGCGTTGGAAGCGCAGCCTCGAGAAGCGCACTTGTGCAAAGTACTTGTGTTACAAGACGGTGGCGTCGTCGGATCCGTCCGATCCCGTGGTTACGCAATATTTCACGTGCCACCGCTCCGGACTCAACTCGCTGAAGAGAGCGCCGGGTGATGCGCCGCTGCCGCGCCGTCTCGTGCTCTGCACTGGCTACATGAAGGTGCGGATGGACAACATTACCGGCGAGGTGGCGTGCGAGTACTGCGCCAGTCACTACGGCCACGACGCCCGGCTGGCTGAGCGGCGGGCCTCGCGGCACCGGTCCACTGACATGATTCCGATCGACTTCGAAACGGTCGAGGAGACCGTCAGCGCGTCGCCGACGGGCGCTGGTCACTTCATGTCCCCGATGGCCACGCGCTACAGCTTCGTCCACGATGATGCGGCAGTTAGCGACCAGGAGATGGAGCAGCCGCGGCAGAAGCGGCCACGCGGCAGGCCCCCCAAGAAGAGGACGGCCGTGCCGCGCCGCAGCCGCGGCGGCAAGAGACGCCGCTGGGAGGAGTTCGAGGAAGAAGAGGAAGAGGAAGAGCAGCAACAGGACAGCTCTGATTCGGACTAGTGGTCTGTGCTGTAGAATGCGATGTTATGCAATGCGTGTGATTGGATCAAGTTGTCTGTTTTCTGCATTTAGCATAGAGCCTGATGAGCACCTTCTTTTGTTACCCCGGGGATGTGGCGCTGTCGCGTGATCACATATTGCGCGCGATCATTCAGAGGGTCTTGGGCTGCTTTCGCGTGTTGCTATCACCCCGCTTCTTTCCTTGTGAGTCGTTGTTTGTGTTATGCCTTACGGTACCTAACCATAACTATATCGAGCCCCAGACAACCGCTCACTGCCGCCTTAGATGGGTGTCGAAGCGAGCGACTAGCGCCGCATGTGTTTGTTGGGCTACATGCCCCCAGAGCGTGTACAAAGAGTGGTCACGAGGTATCGTAATGGCGGTTGAAAAACTGCTTAGAAGTTTTGTGTGATTGAGGGATTTGTGTACAGTTGATTTACTCGTCCACATGTCGTTCTCGTCCGTGAATTCTGCAGTGTTCACTGAGAGTCCGACTAACGCAGCATTCTTCTTAAGTTGACGTGTGGATGTATGGTTGAGCAGCATCTGCCATCGGACAATACACGCATCATTTGTGTTTATATGACTGTGGACTGCTCTGGTGTGCCCTCAGACGGCAATGGGGGGAGGGGTTATGAGCAGATCGGTACGAATCATCCGTGAGACCGGCGCCCAATCTCCCATCGCCACGTCGACACGACACGTGCAATATTTTCGAAGACACAAGAAATTCGACTTAACGTGTATTCATTCATATTCAGGAGCCGTAAACGGCCCCGTTTTTTTCACTTATCCAGTAACTAGTCTACCATCTAAACGCATCTGACCGAACTGCCATATTCGCCTGGAATGAGGTTTTAACAAGCGACATTGTCCGACACTCGCGTCTTGCCAGGTTTGCCATGTACAGGCTGACACATGCCATCCACTTACACACGTTCTCTCAACCAACCGCAATGACCCGCTCGAACAAGACACTGGTCCACGTAATACGCCCCGCTACGTCCACGCCAAACACCTCTCTCAACACTCGGCGCCTTAGCTCTCAGCCTTGGCGACGTAACATACCATCGTCTGCGCTACAAGGCTGCACAAAATTAAACCAAAACACCGCCGCGCCGGCCGTGGTGCTATACCTACCGCTCAATACTCAATACTAAGTAGGTAAGGCGATTCCGGAAGAAAAAAAAGTCTGCAAGCCAAGTATCCATTCTTTCGACCGAACTGCGCCGATTGTATAGTTCCCGATATAAATGACACGGGCTCGACAGATAATACAGCATCAGCTTTCAACCTACAATCGAGAGCATCAGATCTTAGTTCATGATAATGATATATATGGAAGACATTTTCCTTTCGAGTAACGCGTGACGGTGGTGATTCTCACTTGCTGGCAAGAGCGTTAAAATGAAGTTTATACATGCACAACGGCAGCTAAATGACGAACGCTCTGCCTTTGGAGCGAGCCACACGCGGCAGCTGTGTGCATCAAACCACCTCGCCACAATGCTCCCGGGCCCCGCCGGCCGGGCGCGGTCCCGCTGCACCGGTCCCTCGGAGCCCTGTGACCGTTCAGCGCCGCGCCGGCAGAGGTGTCGCCACTGCCGCTCATACTGCCGTTCGGTGTCACCGGGCGCCGGTCAGAGCTCGGTGGCGATGCCGCCGTGCGCGCGGCTCTGTCTGAACACGTTCTGCGACGTGATGACCGAGATCACCACCAGGGCGGCCACCAGCGTGCAGCCGAGCGCGTTCACCACCAGGCCCTCGTCCGGCATGGACGAGTAGGTGTCCCTGCGGGCGAGCCGAGCGGGAGAGTGTGAGCCGCCACCAAGCGATCGCAGCGCCAGGCAAAGCGAGGGGTCGGGAGGCGCGGAACGCCGGACAGCTAGCGGCGGTTACAGAAGCGAGTAGTCGGCGGACAGCCACCGGGGCAGCGCGGGTCGGGGGTCAAAGCGACAACACCACCGGAGATGCTCCCCCTACTCCGGCACCTGTTGAAAGCAAAGCTGGCAACAGTGAACAGCTGTTCGGTCAGGGTCAGTGTTGAGTAAGACGTCGATGTTAGTCGGTGTCTTTGTACAGCGGTCCAGTCTTCCAGGCCGCGAGGTGCCTCCAACAAGCTGTATATTCACTGCGAGCTCTTCGCAACACTAAAATCCACCCACTTCTAACAATCATCTTCGCCGCGGTCGGGCGTTGAAGTCGACGTTTCCACTAACGTAAATAGCATGGTTTGCAAGAACGCCAATATTTATGCGTTTCAATGATACGAATTATCTCCAGCATCACTCAGATCCAAATGCTTCGCTCAGGAGTCAGGTAGGTGTACCCGCACATATTTGGGGTATCGGGAGCAACTCCGCACCGATCACCCTACGTTGTCTTTATAACGTCCATAATCTCATTATATCCCACCATTTCGCCAGACAGATGCTGCTAGATTTTGACCTTACACGCGCCTTCCATCATCGCATAACACTTCGGAACATCCCACTATTCATCGACACCACTACAGGCTTCTCTTCTTCAATAGCATTACACTTCTCCCACGACGTCCCACTCAGTATTCGTTTCACTCCGCCGCTCTTCAGCGACATCACGCCACACTGACGTCATATTGACGCCCATTTACGTCACACTGACGCCCACTGACGTCACTGAGACGGGCTCAGGCCTCGTGCTGCCTGCTGACGAGGATGAGGCGCTCCGTGTTCTGCCGGAACCGGTCGAGCAGCAGGAGCACCGACATGACGATGGCCACCAGCACCAGACACATTGCGAACACGTTGACAACGATCGGTTCCTCGCCCAGACTCTGGTACGTATCCCTGGAACGGTGCGCAGTGTGTCAGAGCCGCCGACAGCGCGCGCAGGGGTGGTACGGGAGCTGGTGTGCCCTGCTGAGGGCAAACCTGCGAAACCAGGGGAGAGGCTGGGAGAAAATAGTAAGCGTTAGATGATGGCAGGGTACCGCTGAAGATGGACATGACCTGGAAACTGGGGAGGGGACTAGATGCGCCGTTGTGAAGCTACCTTTAAAGCCAACGCCTTTGTAGCTCCCACATCGCATCTGTAAATTGACCAGAACCACAACGATAGATGACCAGAACCACAACGATAGATGCGTTAAGGCCTGGCTACACTATGCGTTTTCTGCGTGCGTTTTTTGCGAGTTTGCGTGTTTTGCGTAATATCGTTCTAGAAAAAAGTTATTATCAATATATCCAGGGTTACTTTTACAGGAAAAGTTGAGAGGGGGAATAAAGTTCGGGGCAAAGGCGGATCCAGGGGCATCTGAAAGGGGGGTGGGCGGCAATACCATTAGGTTTTTCGTTAGGATGGAGCCCGCAGAACCTTACCTACCCCCAAATCCTATTCTTTCCTCGGGTTTCAGCCACTTTATTTTGGAAGGTTGCCAAAAAATAATTTTGCTAAAAAATATACGCACCTACCTTGGCTGTAAGGGGCGGGGGAGGTCCCAACTTGACTGCGCCCTTGCAAATGCCAATCAGTAGTATCAACCTATCAGTGGTATCAATAACTAGTAGGTATACCCCGGCCAAACATTAAGTAACGCCTTTCTAAAGAGAGAGGTTAATCCGCGCCCTGATTGGAGGTCATTTTGGCCCCCATGTGGGTTTTCTTGAAAAGCGAAAAACGGCGGCGCGCAGCGCCGCCAAATTTTTAGTACCTTACCGGGCATCAATTTGAAACCTTCGCACAAAATTTCAAGTCTTAGGTCACCTTAGGTCAGGAGTAATTGATGTCAAACTGTTCGAGCAAAAATGAGCAAAAAACATGAAATTCTTAAACGCTCACAAAAGCTACAGTTAACGAGCAATTCCAAAGTTCTTTGTGTGGTCGTGTATGTAGAGAAACGACGGCGCTACAAAACTGCAACCTCTACAACTACAAGGTGGGCAGTGATATCCGAACAAAAACTAATGAAGCACAAAACTTGAATTATTACTATTAGTATTAGTGAGCAGTGAAGTTCCATTGGGAAAGCCGGCTGTGATGAGGTACTTTTTTTGCGCCCTGCTCTGCATGCAAAGCAGATGAACGTGAATGCTGCATAAAGAGAAAAGTCATTTATTACTCAAAGCTTTGATGCCTATGGGACAAAAATAACGTTGTTTTTCCTTCAATGATTCCGGTTTGGAGGATGGTTAAACACGGCCATTGTCATATTGGGACAAAAATTTTAGATTTCTGGCCTTGGCGTCGATGAAAAAGTGAAAATAATCGTGAATAAATGGGTCGTTTCTGAGAAAGAACACAGAATATAAAAGGGGGTCCAAAAGGGGGTCACCTTCTTTTTGCGTCAAAGGAGGGGCCATGGCCCATTGCCCCCCTCCCCCTGTATCCACCCTTGGTTCGGAGAGGTAATCCCGTCCCCCGCCGGTTTCTACGCCGACGCCTGTACCGATATGTCAGTGATTGCGAAAAGACGGAAGAGACAGGGGCGTCGACGCGTAAGGAAAACTGGTCCGACTTTTTCTCGGGGGCCCCCACCGGTGGGGGCCCCCAGGGGCCCCCGTGGCCGCAGCAGGGCCCCCCGAGAGCCCCAACAGGGGCCCCCCGCGGCCGCAGAAAGGGACCCCGCGAGCCGCAGCAGGGCCCCGCGGTGTCTAGCAGGGCCCCAGAGGCGCAGCAGGGCCCCGCGGTCTCTAGCAGGGCCCTCCGAGCCGCAGTAGGGCCCCGCGGTCTGCAGCAGGGGCCCCGCGAGCCACAGCAGGGCACCGCCGAGTCGAAAAAGTGGTCCGACATGTCGGAAAAGTTGGACCGGTGTCGACGCCCCTGGGAAGAGACAAGACAAGAGACGGTCCCACCGACTATCCGATCGGTATCGGGTCAAATCTGGAGTTCCTGCTGCACTGAACGTAAAATAGTTGGATGGAACCGAAAATTGAAAATTAATAATTATCTTAACGCCAGCAACGTTGATTGATGACGAGAATCTGATTAACGATGACTATAGAATCTGAATAGCGAATTGATTGAAAATGGGCTCCAAAATAAATTTGAAAGGGGGAAATTCCCCCTTCCCTCCCTAGCCGTTCAGACACGATTTGAAAGGGGGAGCGGAATTTTCGAAGGGGGGAAATTCCCCTCTTCCCCCCCTTTAAAAGTAACCCTGAATATATCTTCTTTAATATTACATAAAAGTTAATAAAACGTTTATATTAATTAAAAGTTGATATGAAAACATAACAAAAACGTAATGTCGTTTCTCTCTAGAACGATATTCCGCAAATAAATCACGCAAACTCGCTAAAAAGGCACGCAGAAAACGCATAGTGTAGCCAGGCCTTTAGGCTACTACCTGCATCAGTTCGAACTTCGAAAGCCGTCACCGTTCACCAAAACAAAAGACACCGCAGACTCAACGCTGTGAAATAAGGGAGTAACCAGCGCATTTTGGAGCTTATCTTGAACGTCAACAGGTTTTTGTTTATACAGAACAGTCAAACGCATGTTCAGTTCACACCACAACACTATTATGGGTAAGCGCATACCGACTTCCAGCTAACTAACCCTGTAGCTACTCAAGTGAGCGAGATGGTGAGCAGAAGATTTA